CCTGCTGCTTGCTACAGCGAGCTCTAGTTAAATTTTATGCATGAAAGCACTGTTGATTTCCCCTACCCAGGTGACATTGGTGATAACTCATAGATGGATGTGCTTTGTTTTAATTCCAGGCAGCTTCGGTTACGTCTTTGTCCAACTTGGCCTGTATGCACCTGGTTCGCTGGGCTGTTTGGAATCCTTTGCCGGAAGCCAGCTCCGGGAGAGTGACCTTGCCTCTGCAGGGCGGGATCCAGCCCAACCCCACACACTGTTTGGTCTATAAGGTACCCTCTGCCAGCATGAGCTCAGAAGAGGTAAGCTGTTAGATACTTCTTATGCAATTCTTCTCCAGTCAGCTTCTAACAAGTTGGTTAAAACCAGAAGTTGACAACCATGTTCACAGATGTTTGATGAGCATTTTTCATGCCATAGATGTGTCCTGGCAAAAACAGGTGTGATTGTTTAGTCAAAGACATAGACTCAGTAAGGCCAGTTTTATAGTGGGTCTCACAGTGTCCCTGCTCACCTCTCCATTTCCTGAGGTGGCTTGGGTGGCCTGTGACTCTGATTTACACATACTTTGCAAGGAGATCTGCCTCTGTGCTGGGTACTTCGAGTGCTTTGGAGGGTGGGCCTCTTGGAGCCTTTGTAGGCTTTCTAGTGGGTTGAATGCCATGGTGGGAGCAAGGTGGGCTGGCATTCAGCTCTGGCTCATCTTTGTGACTTGTTAATAATTCCCACTGCACACCTGGCTCTCTCATTCAAAAAGGAGTAGAGCCACAGCAGACAGTTTTAGGTTTTTATAAAACCATTCTGAGGGACCAGCAGATGGTGTAATGGTTTCATAGCTGGACTCTCACGTAGTTGACCACAGTTTAAGTCCTGGACCTAGCTTAAAAGTCACACCAGGTGTGTGTGCGTGTGTGCCTAAAATCCCGAGAGGAGACTGGAGGGACAGCGACATGATCATCCCCTTTGGGGGGTGATTTCTCGCTTTCTGCCTCTATCCTCTGTCTCTCTGGTGAGCGCCTGCGCCCTATGGCAAAAAATCTCTCTTAAAAAAAAAAAATTCTGAGAGTCCAGCAGATGGTGTGGTGGTTAAGGAGCTGGACTCTCAAATGGCTGACCAAGGTTTGAGCCCAGATCTGGTGGCTTGAAAATCATGCTAGGTGCATGTGTGCATGTGTGCATGCCCAAAATCCTGAGAGGAAAATGGAGGAGAAGGGATTATGGTGTGGCCATCACCCCCGGGAGGTGATTTTTCACTTTCCCTCTGTCTTTCTCTGACAAGTATACACACTCTCTGGCAAAAACCTAAAAAAAAAAAAAATAAAAATAAAAAACAAAAACAAAAACAAAACAAAACTGAAACAAATTGTTTCTGAACCCTAATAGAGAAAGCAAATAAGTGTAGGGCAGGGTAGGTTGAAATGCTGTGGGGAGGTCTCACCTGCTGGTCTCCCCTGGCCCTATTGGTAGTCCTGGAGGTGGTAAGTAGTTACCCAAGGTGCCACACACATGGTGTGAGACCACTGTCCCGACTCATGTTAGGGGCTCCTGTGTGACTGCTGTTTGGTTCTTCTACACACATTCTTAAAACACGCCTGTTTCAGCTGTGCAAATAGGAGCCTTTTAGCACTCAGTTGTCTCATTTTTCTGAGGTAAAGGGAGCGTACCTGCTATTTCAGTATGCCACCTCTTTGCTGACTCTAGCGGCAGATATAATTTTCAGTGTTGTTATTTATGATTTGGATAATGCTTTGGGGACCTGAATGAGGGAACCGCTGATGGTGCAGCTTTTCTTATGATAAGAAATGTCTTTCATTATGGGGCCATATTTTGCTGCATTCCCACATGGGCTAGTTTGAGCCCTTATTATGACATTGCCATTGGAATTCCTGACACCATTACCATTCTCTCTCTTTTTCTGTTTCTCCCCCCTGCCCAGTCTGGGTGTGTATCTAAATAAATAAATATTCTTTTTACTTTTAGGCTTATCGTGCCACTATATTGCCTTCACTTTTTAAGTGTGTTAACTGTGCGTTTTGAAGATTTGATTATCTAAAGGACACATATGTATCAAATGCTGCCATTTTCCACAAGGAATACTGCTTTTAAATCAGAATTTCTCAGCCTGAGCACTGTTGACATTTTGGGCTAGATAATTCTTTGCCGTGAGGCCATCCTTTGCACTAAAGGATGCTCAGCAGCTTCCCTGGCTTCCATTCACTAGAGCCGATAACAGCCCCAATTATGACAACCCAGGCTGTCTGCAGACATCACCAGATGTCTCCCAGGGAGCAAAATTGCATCTGGTTGAGGACCAGTACCCTAAGCAGATATAATTAACTGAAACTGGTCACAAACTTGATTCTTTCCCTGCACAACAAAGGCACTCCTCTGCTTCTCCTTGCATTTCTTATAGAACGGTGCCGGCACCTATCATGTCAGACCTGGAAACATTCTTTTTCTCCTCCAATCACTCATTAACTTAATTAATTTTTATTGAGTAACTACATATACTCTAAGCAAAATATCTCTGATCCTATGAAATTTGCCATTGAGTAGGAATGGCAGATACTAATCAAAGAATAATATATATATTACATATAAGCCATAGTTGTTGGCTAAGGAGATTTTAGGGTTAGGTTGTATCATTACTTCCCTGTTATTTCCTGATCATATCTTCTTTCTTAGACTTCTGTCCTTTTCCTTTGAGCAAATAATTATCTTAATTATCTTTTTTAAAAAATTTATATCTCTAGAGATAGCCACTTTCAACTTGTAGCTGGAGGCATGTGCTGTTACCTGTGTTTTCTATATAGCATGCTTCTACTGCTCTTCTTAGTTGATCAGTTTTAAGCATTATATGCTGACTTCCTCTAATGCTTGACGAGAACTTGAGCTCTTTCATATACTCCTGACCATTGGTGCCAGCAGGTGATGTGATGATTCAGGCACTGGACTCCCACATGGCCAACTGAGTTCTGGACCCAATGGCTTGAAAGTCATGCCAGGTGTGTGTGGATGTGTGCCCAAAATCCTGTGGGGAAAATGGAGGAAAAGGGATTGCAGCGTGGTCATCTCCCCTGGGGGGTGATTTCTTGCTTTCCCTCTCTGTCTCTCAATATGGTGAGTGCAAAAACCTTAAAACAAAACAAAACAAAACTCCACTTTGTCCTCTCACTGCTTGGCTTTAGATTCAGGCAGAGTCGCAGGGACCATGCAGCACAGCAGGGCTGGTCAGGTACCTGAACAGGGGCCTCAGGTAACTGGAAGGTGCTAGAGATCATGAAGGAGGGGCTCAGAGAATGGTTCTGTAAAGTAGTTTACAAAACCCTGGGCTAGCCTCAGGCTGCACATATGTGGGTCTGACCCTAAACAGCATGACAAAGACTTTGAGAACTGAACTGTGCTTCTCTGTTCAGCAGTTGCCTCTGAGCAGAGCACATGCAGGAAGGATCTGAAGAGCCTGACAACAGGCTTTGAATGTGGAACTGACATTGAGTACATTTCCCACAGGAGGCTTCTCAGAGACTGGCCTGAGCCCAACTGAGTCAATTCCTGCCTGAATAAAAAAACATTCTTCATAGGATTTACTTTTTTAAAAAAATTGCCAGAGAGACAGAGGGAGAAAGCATTCCCCATTGGAGCGATTGGAGTGTGTTTATGCTGCAGTCCTTTCTCTTCCTTTTCTCTGTCCTGTCAGGATTTTGGGCACACATGCACATGTACCTGGCATGTGTTTCAAGCTTCTGGGGCTGGGAATTGACCCACAGTTGGCCATATGGAATACAGCTCCCTTAACCACTAGACTTTGGGACCAGCCTTTTTCACAGGAATCAAATGAGTCTAAGAGTCTCATAATGTACTATTCAAAATGTCCATGATGAAACCTAAAATTAAATGGCATACAGAAAGCCTGAAAAAAATTCAATTTATAGAAAAATACATTTAATAGATACCAACACTGAGATGACAGAAGTGTTAGAACTATCAGACAAAGATTTAAAAGCAGCCATTATAAAAATGCTCTGGTAAGTAAGAGATAGCACTCTTGAAATGAATGGAAAGATAGAAAGTCTCAGTAAAGACTAAAGTTATAAAAAAGAACTAAATGGAAATTTTAGAACTGAAAATAAAATAACCAAAACAATTTGACTAGATGAATTCAACAACGGAATGAAGATGACAAAAGAGTTAGTGAACTTGAAGATAAATTCATAAAATGTATCCAACCTGAACAGCAGGGAGAAGAGTGAATGTAAGTGATTAGGCAAAGCCGCTCTGTGGAACAGAACTAAAAAGGATAACACCTGTGTCATCAGAAAAGTATGTGAAGAAATAATGACTGAAAACTTCCCTTCCCGGCAAGACACATACACCTACAGATTCAAGAAGTTCAGTGAACTCGCAGAAAAGTGCAGAGAAATCCAAATCAGACATGTCTATCTAAAGCAAACTGCTAAAAACTAAAGACAAAGACAAAATCTTGAAAACAGCCATAGAAAAATGATGCATTGCTTACAGAGAAACAAGCATTTGAGTGAGTGGATTCCTTAGAAACCATGAAGGCCAGAGGAAAGTGGAACATTTTAGAAGTGCTTACAAAAGGATCCTAGAACCCAGCATTCTGTATACAGCAAAAAATCATGCAGGAACAAAGGTGAAATAAAGACAGTCTCAGATGAATTAAAACTAAGATAAATGGTTTATTACCTGTTGATGATAACGCGTATGGTATTCTCAACAGGACTGCTCATGTTCTCCTTATAAGCTAATTGATGTATAGCAATTGAATGTATAAATAATAATAATAATCCCCCCAAAACTAAGAGAATTCCTTGGCAGCAGCCATTTTCTGAAAGAATTGCTAAGGGAATTTCTTCTGACAGAAGGGAAATGATACCAGATGGAAATTTGGAGCATTAGGAATAAAGAAAGAACAACAGAAATGATAAATATAAAATAGTCTTCTCTTCTTCTTGAGTTCTTTAAAACAGGTTATATGGTTGAAAAAAAGATTAAAACAGTGTCTGGTGAGTTTTTAAAGGTATGTAGGTATTATAGATAGGACAATTATAATAGAAACACTATACAGTGATGGGTTTCTGTCTTCCACTTGAAGTAATACAATATTGATTCTGAGTAGAGTGAGAGGTTAAGTATTTATATTTTAAACCCTAAGAGCAATCACTAAAAATAAAATACAAATAGATAGTTAAAGACCCACTACATAGACAAAATGGAATAATTCACAAGAAGGGAGGAAAGGGAAAACAAGAACAAAAAACCAGAAGGAATAAGCAATAAT